TAAAAAATGATGTGTGCCAATAATCCCACTAAACCTTCGGGAGTATGTCCCTGTGTTGATACATGAGACCACTTGCCAGGATCACCCACATAGGCTTTCTGTGCTTCCTGAAACACTTCCTTCCCTTGGCTCCCATGACTCATGCCTTTTCTAGTTTCCTCCTATGTTAATATTTGCTCCTTTTTCTCCTTTGCAAGCTCTTCACTGGCTCTGGAAAGGTGGGAGTCCTTCACAGGTCAGCTCTCATTTTTGCTGGTTAGTGCCTACTTATCACTCAAATTTCATTCTAAGCATCAGTTCCTTGGTGAAGGGCTTTCCTGGTCTCCTTGACTAATCAAACCCCCTTGTGGACTGACATTTGTGTCCCTCTAAAATTCATATATTGAAGCCTTAATGTCCAATGTGATGGTATTTGGAGATAGGGTATTGGGACATAATTAGGTTTGGATGAGGTCATAAGAGTTGGGACCCCATGATGGGATTTGTGTCTTTTTAAGAAGAGGAAGAGACCAGAGCCATGTGAGGACACAGAGAAGGTGGCCATGTGCAAGCCAGGAAGAGAGCTTTCACCAGAACCTGACCATGCTGACATGCTGATCATGGACTTCCGGCCTCCAGAACTATAACAGATCTCTCCTGTTAAAGCTGCCCAGTCTGTGGTATTTTGTGGTGGCAGCCTGAGCTGACTGATACACCCCCTCTTCCAGGCATGGCACCATTCTCCTGTCCTTCAGATGTCCTTATAGTCATGATTTTCATTTAATTGGTGTGATTAATGGATTTCTTTCCAGGATTTAGCTCCATGAGTACAAATGCTCATTTCCTAAGGCTTATCATAAGAACTAGCTTCATGTAATGTAGTCACACAGTCCCCATGCTCAGAAGGACCCCATGCTTGGTTTAATGCTCTGAGGTCACCATCTTGAAATTCTTAATGCTTTTTGAACAAGGGGACCTGCATTCTCCTTTTTTACTGACCTCACAAATTATGTAGCTAGTCCTGCTTATCTTTTTTTTTTTATCTCAGCATTGAGCATAGTATCTGGCACATAGTAGATCCTCAATAAATATTAGTTGAATGAGTGGGTGAATGCATTAGTAACTGACTGGTTGAATATAAAATGCCAGAGCTAAGAATTATGGCTGGGTCTGTCTGACTCCAAAGCCTATGCATTTTCTGCCTCCCCATATACTGCTATTTGTACTTACATATGGAGCTGGGTTTGACTAAATCTGCCCAAGGACCTTCCTCTCTCACTTATTTTCCAAATTATTTTCTCCCGGGGCATCTCTGGGGTAGTGTTGCAGTGGCAGCATTCTCTGGCATAAACATCCCTCTGAGTCATAGAGCAATGCCATCGCAAGGGGCCGGGACAGCTGCAGCTGTTAGGCATCTGTGAGTTACTTTGAGATGGCATGAAAAATATCCCCCAATTGGTTAAATCTACCTTACGTCCTGCCCCCAGATCTGTAGGATTGACGTTTCCAGAGAATACTTTTATATACATATGAAAATACACCACCTGCCGCTGAAAGGAATGTACCTTCTCAAACTCAATGAAGAGAATCTTTCACTTCAAAATTAATTCAGATTTTTATCTGAAACTCTTTGACACCTCCCTAGTCATAGTTAACTAACAGGAGTAACGTGAAGGGATTACACTTGGAATCAGGAAGTTGGGGCCATCCGGGAGAATTGATTCAGTTTAGGTAAAGGAATTTGCGAATTGGCTTGCCTCCCCAAAACCGAGAGGTCTGTCTCCATGGTTAAGCGTGCGGTGAGATAGATTGGCAAAATCCTACCTTGAAGCAACCATCAAAGCTAAAAAGCTGGGTCCGCCTTTGGTGCAGTGCCCACGGGGCAAATATTTAGCTCTTTCAGCATTCCAGAGATGAGCTCTGTGCCCATAAACCATCTTCCAATGGCAAGCTGGGGAGAGGTTCAGGCTCAAAGAGAATTAGCTGGTGTGCTTTCAGTCATGCATAAATCATACCCTGGGTGAGGGGCAAGGGGCAAGGGTTGCTGGGCAAATGGATCGGCTCCAGGAATAGCAAGGCCTAACATTCTTTAAATAAAAATCGGACCGGGGCTTTTTTTGTGAGATTGTGCTTTGCGGCATCAACAATGTCACTTACCCTATCACGGTCGTGCCACCTTTGCTTCAGTTTGTCCTCTTGGTATTATGATGCAGGGATGGATAAAAAATCCCATCTACTTTGGGCTCCTTGAAAAGGTGGAGGGTATTATCTTTTGGATTGATAGGTTTAAATGGTTGGTGGTTAGAATCTCAAGGAATCTTCAGTCTGCCCAGTAACTCTGTGTACCCTAAAAAAGTCTCAAGAGCTGTGTTTGAGGTCCACATGAGTCTCTGGGAGGTACAGAAAGGACACTGTAGCACATTTGTCCATCCCAGACAGATCAGGAACTCTCAAAGACCAATTCATTCTCTCTGATACCATCCCAAGAGAACACGAGACCAGCAATATCTCCTACCAGCCACTCAGCTCTCATATAATAGTATTGATAATAATGGTAAAGGCATCACTAACACTTTTTTAGTGATCAAAATATACAGAAACTATTCTACATGTATAGACATTTTACATGTATTGATTGATTTACTTTATGCAACAGCTCTCTGAGATAGGTACTATTGTTCCTCTCCTTTGACAGATGAGGAAACTGAGGCACACAGAGTTATGTAGGGTCCCTCTGCCTAGGGAAGGGACTACAGTGGTTTTCCTCACCATATTTTCAGGACTCTGTTGTAGGAGTTTGCAAAGGTGACTTGAAAAATAGGTTTCAACATAAGGCATTTGGTGGTGATGCAATCATTCAGTCTACAGCAGTGTTAACCACTAGGCAGTTTTGTGTGGTAATTTTTAGGTATCTCCTTGTGAGGCTCAGCCTACACTTACTCCTTTTCCTCTGACACTCAATAGAAATGTTGGATGCCAAGTTTGAAGAAATCTTCCAGACAATATGTCAAAAAGAAAAAAAGAAGAAAAATAGAGCAAATGTAACACCTGAATAATAACAGTTATAATAAGAAAGAACAGAGAAAATGAAGGCAAGGAAAGCCTCAAAGAAATAATTCGAGAACATTTCACAGACTGAAGTATTTGAGCTTCTAGACTGAAAATATCCACCAAGCATCTTGGAAAATGTGTGTGTCTAGTCCCAGACCTTAACATCCACTGCTTACACTACCTCTTCTCTTGGATATCTTTGAGGCATCACCAACTCCACAAGTCAAAAATTGCACTCAGGGTGTTTCTCCCCTCAAATCTTGTTCTCTCTGTGCTCCATATCTTGAGGAAGGGTATATAGCCATCCATCCAGTTATACTGCTTAAAATTCCAGGAGTTATCCTGACATCTCCCTCTCTCCTACTTTCTATATCCATTGCATCTCTAAGCCCAGTTGGTTTTACCTTCTGTCTTTCAGATCCATCTACTTGTCTTCACATTTGACTTCACCTCTTGCGTGGCTGATAGCAAGTGTTCTTATCTCCCTGCATCCTCTCTTAGCCTTCTCTAACCCACCTACCCCCACCCTTTGCTCACCTTGTTATCTAATTATCTTCTCTTTTCTTTTTTTTTAATTTAAGTAATCTCTACACCCAACATGGGACTCAAACTCACAACCCTGAGACCAAGAGTCACATGCTCTTCCAACTGACCCAGCCAGGCACCCCTCTAGCTCTTTTTTTTTTTTTCAAAAGACAAATCTGATCATGTCTTTCCTCTGCTCTTACCCAGAATGGAGATTCTTTGGTGAGACTTAAAATATGTAAGAGCTGCACTTCTTTTTCTGGAACAGTTGGTTTCTTCAGGGGTTCACATATAAGCTGTGATCAAAATGCCTCTATCATATGCTCTGCTAAACACTGAGAGAAACATGAGACTAAGGCTCAGAATTGGTTGGATAACTGAAGAAGAGCAGCTAAAGGGAGGACCAGACGTAGGAGTTGGATTGGCTGTTATTTTAGGTTGCACTTGATAAGAAATAAAGACCATGCGTAGCCCTTTGCCTCGTCTCTATGTCTTGGTGTCCTGACATTTTATTTCATCATAATTACAAAGAATCAAAGTGAGGCTTGACCCAGCAAAGAAAAGCATCCCTAAGGTTTGGAGACCCAGTGACAGCTTCCCAATGTTCTTTATGTAAATATAAAGATGTTTGGCCCTACCTACTTCGAGCTAAAGCTCAGCCAGCCTGCCCTCACTGTTTCAGTCTCTGTCCCTCACTGTGCCCCTGCCACCCCAGGACTTCTACTAATGCTGTTCCCTCTGTCTAGGATGCAGTTCCCTGCTCTGTCTACTTGGTTCACTCCTACTTGTCCAACTCTCAGCCCTATCAGCAACTTCCCTGACCAAATCAAATGCCTTCCTCATAGGCTCTCAAAGCAATCCTTTCTCTTCTCAATAGCAATTATGTCAGTTGGCAATTTTATTTGTGTGACTATTTGGTTAACATTTCTATCCCCCCTGGACTGTAAGCTCATGGGGACAGGGACTGTATGTTCTGCTTCCTTTTGACTCCTCAGTACCTAGCAAAATTTCTGACCCATAGTAAGCCCTCAATACGTATTTGCTGAATAAATGGAGAGTTGAATGACTGTATAGGTAAATGAATGAAAGAATTAAGATTTAGTCATCAAAAATATATTTTTAAGTGGCCCAAAACAACTGTTGTAGAATTACTCCATTGTTTGTTCAAAACCTGTCATAAAAGAGCTCCAGGTAATAATTAATATATCATGGTACTTAGGCCCTCAAATATATCCTGTGATATTAATATGGATTTGTAGCTATAAGCTGTAGTTTCAAGAAGGCAAGTGCTGTCTTCTGCTATAGTGAATCATGGTTTTAGTCTCTTAAGAGATCACCAGAAAGCAAGCTGGGATAATTCTATAGCTGTGAGCTTAATTTTATATCCCAATAAAAATATGATATTGCTTATTTGGAAAATTCAATAAGAATCTATTTGTAGTGGTGTCTGGCTGGCTCAGTTGGTAGAGCGTATGACTATTGATCTTGGGGTCATTGGTTCAAGCCCCATGTTGGGCATAGAGCCTACTTGAAAAAAAATTTATTTATTTTATTTTATTTTATTTTATTATGTATGTTAGATACAATACATCATTAGTTTTTCATGTAGTGATCCACGATTCATTGTTTTCGTATAACACCCAGTGCTCCATGCAGTACCTGCCCTCCTTAATACCCATCACTGGGCTAACCCATCCCCCCACCCCCCTCCCCTCTAAAACCCTCAGTTTGTTTCTCAGAGTCCATAGCCTCTCCATGGTTCATCTCTCCCTCCGATTTCCCCCCCTTCACTTTTCCCTTCCTTCTCCTAATGTCCTCCATGCTATTCCTTATGGGCTATTCCACAAATGGGAAAAGAAAATTTATTTGCAGACTTAATAGTATAAGGAACTTAAAAAATCATAATATAAGGAACTTTGTTGAGTTACAGGTTACCCATCTTTGTGAAAGTATAGCTCAAGACCAAACTCCCCCTGATAGTCTTTGTTTGACGTGAGATAGGAATTCTGGAGTGGCATATGATTATCTTCGCAAAATGTCAGACATATAGTCCCTATTTGGAAAGCTCAGAGCTGGACCTTATTGAAAGTTTGCTTTGATCATTATAAGGATGTGATTAAATGAATATCTGATGATAAGAAAAGGTAACATTTACTGAGCACCAACTCTGTGTCAGGCAATGTTCTAAGCGCTCATTTAATCCACATAACAATTCTGAGTTAAGTAGGGACTATCATTTTTCCCAGCTTATAGATGAGCAAACTGAAACACAGAGGTTATGTAACTTTCCTAAGATTACATCCCCAGGTACTCTGGCTGCAGAGTACCCACACTGCCCAATATGGCGCCCACTAGTTCATGGGGCTGTTGAGCACATGAAATGTGGTCAGTAAGAACTGAGATGTGCTATACGCTAGATTTTGAAGACTTAGTATGAAGCACATATATTTCATTAAGTGTTTCTACTGATTACATGTTGAAATGATATTTTAGACAGGGTTCATCAAGACATGATTAAAATTAGTTTCATTTCTTTCTTTTCATGTAGCTGCCACAAGGAGGCTCTGCCCCGGGCTGGGGGAGGAGCTGTAACTGTAAATTTGTGCTTTTCTAGCTACATGTGTCTATTTAAATTTAAATTAATCAAAATTAATTAAACATTAAACAGTCAGTGCTTCAGTTGTGTTAGCCACATTTCAAATGCTCAACAGCCACATGCGGTTAGTAGCTACTGAAAGGGACACGCCAGAATAGAATATTCCCATCATCTCAGAAAGTTCTGTTAGGTAGCACTGTTATAAATTCATTATAATTGATTTTCGTTAACAAATGACAAACAGCAATTGAACAATAATCAAACAGTCCATACAAGAAGTATGGATTAGGGCACCTGGGTGGCTCAGTTGGTTAAGCGACTGCCTTCAGCTCAGGTCACGATCCTGGAGTCCCAGGATCGAGTCCCACATCGGGCTCCCTGCTCGGCAGGGAGTCTGCTTCTCCCTCTGACCCTCTTCCCTCTCGTGCTCTCTATCTCTCATTCTCTCTCTCTCTCAAATAAATAAATAAAATCTTTAAAAAAAAAAGAAGTATGGATTATATGTATATTGAATACTTCTATATGATATGTAAGGCCTCATTTAAACCTCATAGCAACTTCTAGAGGAAGCCTCTATTATTATCTCCACTTGCAGATAAGAAAACGGAGGCCAGAGGTATGAAGCAGTCGAGATCACATAGCTAAGCGAAATGAGATAGTTGGGACTTGAATACAGCCCGCCTGGCACCGGAGCTGGTGAATCTAACTAGTCAGTCATTCTCAAAGTATCGTCCCTGGACCAGCAGCAGCAGCAGCATCACCTGGAGACTTGGTAGAAATGCAAATTCTCAGGCCCCACCAGACCTCCTGAATCAGCAACTGGTGGAGGGGCACAGCCTGCTCCGTTTTCGCCAGCGCCCTAACCAAGCTGGGTGCATACTCCAGTCTGGGAACCACTGCACTCTGCTGTGCTGCACCCTCGCTTTTAGGCATCTCTGACCTACCCAGCCCTGTGCTCAGCGTTTGCTGCTGGTATATCTTATTTTATTTTTTAAGATTTATTTATTTATTTGGGAGAGAGAGAGTGCGCACACCAGAGTGGGGGGAGGGGCAGAGGAAGAGAACCTTCAAGCAGACCTCCTGCTGAGTGTGGAGCCCAACACGGGGCATGATGCCATGACCCATGAGATCACAACCTAAGCCAAAACCAAAAGAGTCAGACACTTAACCAACTGAGCCATCCAGGCACCCCATGACTGGTGTATCTTAAACTTGGAATCATATGCCTAAAAGAATCTTTTTAGCAGATAAAAGGATAATTAACTAACATGTACTGAGCATTTACTCTGTAGTAGACTCAGGGGGCCATTTCTCACTCAAATGGACTTGGAGTCATCATCTGACTTATCCACAGTCATACAGTTAATAAGTGGTGGGGCAGGGATGTGAATCCAGGCTCCTGGCCCCAAAGCCCATCCTCTTCACCATGAACCCTTACTTAAAGAATGGTGGAGAAGCAACTTTTCATGTCCCTGAATAAAAATGAGTTTTCCAAATTCTCTGCTGCTGGAATGTCCTCCTCCTTGCTTGTCTCCTAAAGGACACAGACTGTCCCTTCTCCTCCCGAGGTCACATTCCATCCATTTCTTAAAGTGTATCCCAAGGGGATGGGTGAAACAGGTGAAGGAGATTAAGAGTACATTTATCTTGATGAGCACCGAATAATGTATGGAATTGTTGAATCACTATATTGCACACCTGAAACTAATACGACACTGTACATTAATTATACTGGAATTTTTTTTTACAAAGTGTATCCCAACATAAAAATAATTTTTCACATCAAAATATATCTGCTCTAGAATGTGCCAACCTGAGGTTCAGGATTTCTATTCCTGAAGGTTTTCAAACAATAAATATTCATTCGTTCATTCTTCATTATAACAAATTATCAAGTGCCTTTTATGTGACAGGTGCAGTCCTAGGCAGTGAAGAGCAAACATGGTTAAAAGAGGAGGTTCCTGCCTTCATGGGGCTTGTGTTCCAGTGGGAGAGACAGACCATAAACAGGTAAGCATATAAACAGAAATAATAAACACATTGTAAAAAGTAGTAGGAAGGAAATAAATAAGATGCTGGGCTAGGGGATAAATGTTGGTCATTAGGCATAGGGATAACTTCGCTGAGAAGGTGACCTTCAGGCTGATACATGAAGGATGAGGCGAAGCCTGTCATCCAAAGAGCCTAGGAGATGGCATTCCAAATGGAGAGAACAGAACATGCAAAGGCCTGAGGTAGAAAAGAGCTTAGCTGGTCCTAGGAACTGACAATCTGTGGAGCATAAGGGGGTAAGGGGAGAGCTAAGCTGAGGTTGGAGATGCAAGAAGGAGCCAGGTCATGCAGGGTCATGTGGGCCAAGATAAGAAATTTGCATTTTATTCTAAATGGGATTTTATGCTTTAGCAAAGGAACAGCATGATCACTGTACCTATTTAATAACTATTTGTTGAACAAGTAAATTGATCAAGGGCATTTAAAACTGATTCTAGTAAGAAGAACTCTTATTTTTTCTTCTGAGAATAATAAAGTGGCAGCTCTAATTTATGAAACACCTTCTATACGCCACTTGTGCATTCATCAAATGTCCTCGCAACAACCTGGTGAAGTGGTACTATCATCATCCCCTTTTTACAGCTGGGGAAACTGAAATTCACAGACATACCTTCAACACATTTACTCAAGTGTTCTTTGAGTTCCTTATCTCATGGATAATAAGTGGCAGATCTAGTCTTAAACTTAAGACTGATTCTGAAGCCCATGCTCTTTTACTAAGTTATACTATGTCTGCTGAAAATTAGAGAATTGAGAAATCTATAATCTCCCTATATTTGCTCTATAATCTGTAGGTAGCAGCAAGTACAAAATGGGAGCTGGCTAGGTCGGGTTCAGAGCACACCATAAGCCTGTACCTCTGACCTTTTATCCCCAACTCGGAACACTACTATGCATGACACCAGGATCTCTTGTCAGGGGTGGAGACAGGGAGCTGGCCGGCTCCATGTGTCTACATTCCCACTTGCTGTCCCAAAGGTCCAACTGCCTGCAGCTCCCCGACGTTAGGCCCTGACTGCTAAGTCTGGTCTGGCACAGGGACAGAGGGACTCCGAGGCCCACTAGTTGAGAATTCTTGCTGGCCGCTTGGGAGGGCCAGATAACGCAAGTGAGAGGCTGGCATGCTAAAAAGAGGGAGTGCTATTTCGAGCCTCTGTTCAAGGAACGTTTCACAGTGGAAAAATGGTGGCACGGTGCACAGGATGTGACCTGACAGGAGTTATGTCTCAGGCATCAGTGCCCTGGGTTTCTATTTTTATTGCTAAAACTTGCAATTTGAACCAAAAAAGGCTGGCCCCTAAGAAATAAGTAAAGATTGGTATGAAATCTGGAAAATTTCTGGAAATGTCATGGATCAAGATCGGAGGGTCAATCTATTACATACATTATGTCATATCTACACCAGGAATACCATGAAGCTATTAAGATGATAATATGAAGCTCTACTTGCCCACAAAGAAATACGTTCATACTACATTTTTCTGTGTAAAGAGATGATTACACAGTGCGCACCGATGGCACCATTTTGTAAAATGCATGCATATGTATATGTGTACAGAAAAGGCTTGGAAGGAGATATTTTTAAAAGGTAACTATTGTGCCTTTATATCTATATTTTATGAACTTTTTACAAGAAGTATGGACTATATGTATGCAACCAGGAAAAAAAAATGAAGCTATTGTCATTCTGAAGAAAAAAGATGGTGATGAAGGGGGTCCCTGACCAAGTGATTAAGGGGAATCCTGTAAGGTAAAGATTAGGTAAGAAAGGGCCAAAGTCCTTAACCTGTGCTTTGTTTCCATTATCCTGAAAGAAAGGGTTTTATTCCCAAAATTATACCAAAATTGCTTATACTGTGATGATTACATG